TTTAGCTTATTTTGTCGATTTTGTTTATTTTTTTTCCGCCGACGTCGCCATAATAAATTCATACTATTTTTTCAAAAAAAACCTTTAAAAATCCAATTTTTTTTAAAAAACAAATATTACACACATTTATGTTTTTTTAATAAATTATTATTGACTGAAAATTTCATGATTTGTTTTTTTTGTGGAAGACAATGAAAAATCATACGTAACAATTTTCATTGAAAAATCATCAGCATTTATGAAAATTACATTATTGTTTTATTATTTTTATGATTTTATTACGGCGATGTGGGAGGAAAACAATCTCAAAAAACACAAAAAATAAATAAAAAACATAAAATGAACCATATAAAATGTACCGTAAATACTTTTCGAAACCGTTTGTGGCCTTTTAACCGAACAAGGTCCGACAAAAAAAAAAGTTTTTACCCGACTTCTGCTGTTTTTTTGGGGGGCTGATTTTCCAAATAACTTGCGAACTCTACTTTCAGGGCTGTTCGGTTCTGTACCCTCCACCTAAGAACTTTTCCACCACAAAGCAGTTACCACCAGAGGAATCAGGAGACAGTTTGCGCTTCAGCAGGCGACTACAAAGAGCTCTAAGCCCGATGGGCCTGCTGCAGGGAAGACGCCTGCAGAAGTCACCCGGCCTTCAAGGCGGTATTTCTAGGACCTTGATTGCGGGCAGACGTTTTTGTTTCTTGCCGCCTACAGGGATATGTGATTAGATCCAATACTTCTTTATGGGCTGTTAGGCCCCCACTCCATACGCGGGGCCGAACCAAAAGTTCGGACCGGTTTTCAAAGTCTTGCAACATGAAAGTTTTCATTGTTTTAGAATACAATGAGCAGTCAAGGTCCAAGCCTTTTTGATTCGTGAAACGATTTCAGCATTTATGGGGCAGGATCGGCAGCACCAAAGCGGGGCCCACAGGTCCACCTAAGAAATTTCCACCTAGAACATGTTTCCACACACTTTTAGCTTCAAGAGGCGATTGCGAAGAGTTCTATGGCTGATAAGCCCGCTGCAATGGAGACGCCTGCTGCAGCTAAGACGGCTCCAGAAGTGACATGACGCAAGGACGCCCGACGGTTTTTCTATGGCTTAGAGGGCAGACTTTTTCCCACCTACAAAAACCGTAATTATTAGATCCAATACGTACGTATGTTTTTTTCGGGCTGTTAGGCCCCCACTCCTCAACGCATGGCCGAACCAAAAGTTCGGACCGGTTTCAAAGTCTTGCAACATGAAAGTTTTCATTGTTTTAGAATACAATGAGCAGTCAGGTCAAGCCTTTTTGATTCGTGAACAATTTCGGCTTATATGGGGCAGGGTCGGCAGCACCAAAGCGGGGCCCACAGGTCCACCCAAGACATTTCCACCTAGAAGATGTTTCCACCAAAGGACAAGTGTGCAACCATATACTTTTAGCTTCAAGTTGTGATTGCGAAGAGTTCTATGGCTGCCATCAGGATGCAGTGGAGACGCCTGCTGCAGTGGGTACGGCGCCAGAAGTCACACGGCGCAAGGGTGGCCCACGCGACATTTTTCAGAGCCTAGATTGGGGGCAGACTTTTTTTTCATTTACAGATAATCATGATTAGACTTATATACTGTAGACCCAATACTTTTTTGGGGCTGTCAGGCCCCCACTCCTCTAAGCATGGCCGAACCAAAAGTTTGGACCGGTTGGGAAAATCTTGCAAGAAAATGTCATGCAATTGGGGTTGCATGCTCAAAGCATAGACAGGCGCCAGCTGAAGAAACAGCGGTTGGCAAGGAGCCAATCGAGGAATGCCAATATCCAGATGTGACTTGGCGCATGGTGCAAGGGTACCGGCAAGCCCCTAATCAAAAGTCAGTGGATATTGTTTCTCCGTGGCTTTCCACCAGATGTTGTCAATGGTTTTCCAAGTGTTCCATCATTTTGTCTGCAGTTTTCCAACAGCGGTTTTCCTTTGTTGTCCACCAATGCTTTTCCGTTGTTTTCCACCAAAAGTTTTCCATGGGTTTCCCAATCAGAGTGCTCCATGGTTTTCCACCAGGGTGTGTCCATGGGTTTCCGCCCAAAATAATGTTGCATGATGTTCCACCGTTTTTTTTCCGTGCCTTTGACAAGGTGTTTCCATGGTTTTCCACCAATGCTTTTCCATGGTTTTCCAGCGTAGTTTTCCAACAACTTCATTTCCGCAGTTTGCCAAGGAATTTGAATACCCTGAAGTGACTCGGCTCAGTGTGCAATTCCCTCCACATAGAATTACACATAGGATTCCACATAAGTTTCCACCAAGATATTTTATATCACCAGTATCGCACAACAAGGGCCCACTTATGGTTGTTATAAATTGCTATAAAGAACACATAGCAGTCATTAATCCTCTGATACATAAAGCCTCTGTGCCACCGCACTGCGCTTCACATTTTTGGTCTTTCCAGCAATTGTTTTGAAACATCTCGGTGTCCCGAGGGTCCTTTCCAAGTGAGTCTGGGCGATGAAGAAAGACGTCAGCAATTTCTAGCCAGGTAATTCCACCTATCGGAAAATTTTCACCAGAACGACGCCAAGCTGCCAGGATGTCCCACCCAGGAAACTCCACCTAGGATTTGGTTCCCAACACAAAGAAAAGGAAAGAATTGCCAGCCAGGATGCCCCACCTAGAAACTCCACCTAGGAAATTTCTCTGCAGAAAGAGGCAAGCCAGCAAATCCCTTAAATTCCAAAAAGGAATCAAAAAGGGAATTCCAAGAAGGAGCAGGAGCACTGCAAGGAACTTCCACCCAGGAAACTCCACCTAAGTAACTTGCAACCACACAACGGGAAACTAAGGAATTTCCACTCACAAAACTCCACCCAGGAAAGTCTTGCTGAGGAAGAAAAAATCCAGCACTTTCTAGCCAGGTAAGTCCACCTAGGCAATTTATCCCCAAGACAAAGGAAAGCAAGGAATTGCCAGCCAGGATACCCCACCCAAGAAACTCCACCTAGGAAATTTCTCTGGAGAAAGAGGCAAGCCAGCAAATCCCTTAAATTCCAAAAAGGAATCAAAAAGGGAATTCCAAGCAGGAGCAGGAGCACTGCAAGGAACTTCCACCCAGGAAACTCCACCTAAGTAACTTGCAACCAGACAACGGGAAACTAAGGAATTTCCACTCACAAAACTCCACCCAGGAAAGTCTTGCTGAGGAAGAAAGATTCCAGCAATTTCTAGCCAGGTAAGTCCACCTAGGCAATTTATCCCCGAGACATAGGAAAGCAAGGAATTGCCAGCTAGAATACCCCACTCAAGAAGCTCCACCTAGGGCCTAGGGAATTTCTCTGCAGACAGAGGGAAGCCAGCAAATCCCTTAAATTCCAAAAAGGGAATTCCAAGAAGGAGCAGGAGCACTGCAAGGAACTTCCACCCAGGAAACTCCACCTAAGTAACTTGCAACCAGACAACAGGAAACTAAGGAATTTCCACTCACAAAACCCCATCCAGGTAAGTCTTGCTGAGGAAGAAAGATGTCAGCAATTTCTAGCCAGGTAAGTCCACCTAGGCAATTTTTCCCCAAGACAAAGGAAAGCAAGGAATTGCCAGCCAGGATACCCCACCCAAGAAATCCCACCTAGGTTTTTTTTCCGCGGAAAGCGGGAAACAAGCAACTTCCACCACCACCCGCGAAATTCCACCTAGGGAATTCATCTAGGAATTCCACCCAAGAAGCAAGGAACTTCCACCCAGGAACTCCACCTAGGACATTTCTTGCAAGAAAGAGAGAAGCAAGCAATTTCTAGCCAGGCGCTTCCACCCAGTTCGAATTTTTAATGAAAGGAATTTCCACCAAAGCCAAAATCGTATAGTACCGTACAACCATTTCCATCTGATGATTGTGTAGCAATCCCACAGGCCGCTCTCAATACCATTGTTTTGGGTCTAACTTTAACAACTCGACTCATAGAGTGTTCCAAATCATCAGCACCATATATTTGGACCATTTACCATTTACCTGCATATATTCCCTGTGGTTTGCAATTTTTTAAACATGCGGAGTGGGCCCTACCATTTAAACATACGTACAGAACTGGTATTTCATACTACCTCCGAGCCTGACTGCCCTGGCCCGGCCACCACATATTTAAATGTGATTACCGTAACTGGTTGGTTGTTTCAACCCCTCTGAAAAATATGAAAGTCAGTTGGGATGATTATTCCCAATAGATATGGGGGAAAAAAAGTTCCAAACCGCCAACCAGCTAGTAAGAGTGTTAAAGAACATGCTATTCCCAACTTCACCGTGCACATCCCAGATATGATCACGGTCCCAAAGTAGAGACCCCTTCATGGTATGGTCCCTGCCTCAGCCTCGATTGCGTTGATCACAGAATTCACAAAGCCGAAAGAAACTCCGCTGGTGAACTAGTAACTATTCCCCAGTAACTAATCCCCATAGCAGCTAATCCCCAACAACTCTTATTGGAGATTATCTCCACTGTCTGATTTTTTCGGTCACTAATATACTTGCCGGATTGTGAAGCTACAACCGTTGGATGATTTAAAAAAAATCCGTTCAGCTTTCACCCAACATCATCATCCAGTTGGATGTTGAATGGTTGCTAAATTCGATTCCGAACAACAAAGAACAACCATTGGATTCCGAACGTGTCTTAAATTTTCACACCCATCATCAGCACTTACATAACTTATGTCAGGTCTTGGTGGTCTCTCGCTATGTCTGTTGTTAACCATCACTTCGATCGTGCTCGACATGAGGTCGTGATGAAATTTATACAGAAAAGGATAGAACAGGTCTATACGGTGGTTTCCTAAAATGGGGGTACCCCAAATGGATGGTTTAAAATAGAAAATCCTATTAGGTATAGATGATTTGGGCGTAACCCTATTTTAGGAAACCTCCATATAAAGGTTCCGATGGGATCCGATGGGTAGTTTTGCCTCTTTCTATCGCAGCAACAGGTCCGATGTTTTATCGCAACACACTCCTTTAACCACGGCTGCACCTGCCACAACATCGTTGACATGGCAGAAGATAAGCAGGGTGAGACTTCTGCTTCCGAAGCGGCTCCCGAAGGGCCTAGGGGCCTGTGCTTTGGCAAGTCTCCCTGCTGAACATTGACAGTTGACCCTGATGTTTTTCAACAAGTTGCTGTCAGAAAATTCTATGTCCTGAGGCATGGTTGATAGCTTCTTGCCTGGAAGTGCAAGTAATATATCATATTTTAATATATTTCTATCATTTTCTATCCATCCGTCCGTGTTGTGTCTCAATGCCCGGGATGTATATCCAGCAGCTGTGCGTCTGCAGCAAGCTGTCAACATGTTGATGTCAAAAGAAGCATCACAGCTTTGAACCGCCAGGATTACCAGGGGATGTGAACGGATGTGAATGGAGGTTGAATGCGACGACCACAAAATACCATCGAAATGAAGAAACTGAGAGAACTTCTTCGGACAACCAAACTCATTGGGCACAACTTTTTCTGGTTGGTGGTATAACTATCCCTCCGAAAAATATGAACTAGTCAGTTGGGATGATTATTCTCAAAATATCCCGTAGGATCCATGTATGCTATATATGGTAACATTTACCATCAATATACCCCAAATGTTAGCATATATACCATACATGGATCCTATGGGTATGGGAAAATAAGAAATGTTCCAAACCACCACCCAGTTTTGTTTTCAGTTGCCGCAATCCTACAACTCACAAAAAATCGCCGGCGCCAGGATGGAAGCAGATGAAGATTCTGCCCGACTCTAAGGTCGCCAATTTTATCGACCTACGTAGCCATCGGACAACCAAAAAAAAACAAGGAGGTGAGTTCAAAAACAAGTTTGCAGGAAATGGGAAACATTGCATAAAATTTCATAAATCAATACTATAAATCAATACTATAAATCAATATAAATCATACATGGCTTAAGAAAAACACATCTTCCCAATTCAAAAGGCACACAGCCCTTTCCCCCACGAAAGGCACAGCACGTGTTTCTTTTTTTTTGTGGCAAAATATTCAGATCGAGTCTCTTTGTTTCTTCGCATTGGCCGTCACGCAGACGCACAAAAGGCATTCGGAAAAGAATCGAGCCTCATGCCCGAAACGTTCGGGCCACAGGCAGTTGAAAGGACACAAAAAAGATCACTTTGCTCGCGGTTTTTGTTGCTCCGCGGCGGTTTTGAACAAAAACGGCTTAGAAGATGTTAGAAAGTTGTTGCTGGGTTCATCGAGGCCTAAAAAAACATGGAAAATTCTGGGAGATACTTCAGTTCCGAGCCACCCAATTCTAGAAATCTTTCCAAAAAAGTAGGTGTTCTGCAGATGTGCTGCAAGGTCTCCCAACACTTGTAGCACCCCCCAGAAGATAGAAAAGTAATAGAAAAGTAAAATCCATTAAAATCTTGTTACGTAAATCACTTTTCTATCCTGTTGGGGGTGACGAAAATCCAACTTGAGTCTTTTTTTTGGGCCCCCAAAGACTAAAATCACCAGTAACATTCTTGATTCTTGGAGAAATAAGAAACAACAGGAAGTGTTGTTTCACACACCAGAGCATTTAAGCCGCAATCATTATAGCCCTATGGTACAGTATATTGCCCAGCCATGATCAACCAGTTGCAAAAGGTGAACATTGGACAACAAAAACATGACATGTTTGGAACCACTTTATAGATGGCTTTGTCAACTTGTCCCTTAGAATCTGTTTCCTTGATGGGAAAACGACTCTCTGTGAAGACCTGGAATTAAAATAGCGACCCCTTTTTTCACAAAGTGGGCTTCCTAGCATGTTAGCCTAAAACAGGCTTCCCCACTAAACACAGGGGTTGGTAACTGTCCCATTTTGGGAATATTGGACATCACCTTATAGTAGCCATTATAGACCATATACCTAATGGTTGGGTGATGTTCAATGGGGACATCAGTCATGACCCATGAAACATGACCAATCACTTCAATGACGTGGGGCCATCTGTTCCCCTCTTGGGTTACCATTCAGCCCCAGTAGGTTGCGGCACATCCAACTGCCAGCGGCCACCGCTGTTCCCTGGACCTGTGATCGAGGGCGACCAGGCGAGGGATCTGCGAATTGCTACGTCGAGAAATTTTTGGGTCGAGCAACAAAAATCCAGAAATCTAAGTTCAGTATCTCAGTATTTCAAGGATTAATCAAAGGATCAATTCTGATCAACTGGTAACTGGAATCTACCCTCTGGAAATTTAACATAGCTATTGAACATAGCCATAGAAATAGTTGATTTTCCCATTAAACATGGTGATTTTCCATAGTTAGTTTCCCAGAGGGTATAATCTATAGACTACACTACGAATCACATCGGAATCCGTAAACCAGCAAAATGGCCATACCCAGTGGGACAGCCCTTAGCCACCTCTGATTAAAGCCTTTTCTCTCAGGGGATGGTATGGGGATGGTAAATGTCATTCAATGTCCAAAAGATATTCACATCCAACTATTGGGGATATAGTCTCCAAAACATACCCTCTGGTAAACTAACATAACTATGGAAAATCACCATTTTTAATGGGAAAATCAACTATTTCTATGGCCATGTTCAATAGCTATGTTAAATTACCAGAGGGTACTTGTTTTTTTGTTCAACAAAATCTCCAAGCCATGAGCCACAAAAAGTGCTTTGAACCAGGAACTCTTTGAACCAATCTTCGGCAGCATTTGGTTCATGTTGGTTGTGTATTGCCACTTAAAAGGTACAAGTCGCTTGTAATAAAGAATCTCTAATGGGTGTACATCAGTGTACATATCGGATGGAGTGACCCTGAATGGTTGCTGTCTTTTTTGGATCGTTTAGTAGTGGGTTTACTACAGGATGGTGCCTCTCAATTATAAGTTAGTTTATTTATAATATTATAAACCTCATTAACTATAGTTATATCATGTTATATCTACCATAAACCGTAGTTAAGCAACATTAAGCAGACTTCTCGTTCTTCTCCATCTTCTCTTTCCGTCAGACTGTCGCCCAATTTCTCCGACCTGTCCTGGGGGGACGCCCCTTGATTTGGAGCTTGACACCCCTCCGACTGATGCAGATTTCGGTGACAAGTTCCATTTTGAGTGAAGACAAAGGGAGTAAAATGGACGAATTCGCGGCCAAATAGCTGCAAATAGCTGTTTTCTTTTGAAAATAGCTTGGGATTGTAAGAAAATAGCTGGAATTTATGGGTGTTGATCATTGTTTATCACCCCCTATATGTGGAAAACTCTGGTAGCTATATTGGAGGTTTCCTAAAATGGGGATACCCCCCAAATCATCCTGTTCTTAGAACATTTGAGTATCAAAACCCATGGGTTTTTGGGATCCCCCATGACTTAGGAAACCTCCACAGCCACATCTGCTGGGGGTCAAGCTCCGATGAAGCGCGGCTGGTTCCTGGGTGAAACATACAGCAGCTCCACTGCAAAAACCTCGATTTTTAGGCCAGGGCCTGGTAGATGTTGAAGGGAAAACTGCTGGAAAAACCACTGGTTGTTAGCAATGCACATTTTCGGGGTCATTTTTTTCGATTTCAAGTGTGTAGAAATATGTATATTTATGTCGCATGTGAATTTCGCACAAGAGTTGGTGGGTGATGTTGAATAGCGGGAAACACTGTGACGATGCAAGAATCAACGAGTTATATACAAACTATGAATAGAACAACGACATATGGATTTATCAGCTACCAGTAGGGAACCATCCAAATTTCCGGTGCAAGAACAACTTGGAGACTGGACGCCTAAATAGTGCAAACATGTTTTGTTTCATGGCTTTTCAGTCATGATAGTGTGAAACCCACACACCAGAATCTAGACTGGCAACGCAAGAATTCCTTATGTTTCATGGGGAAAAGTAGCCCTTTCAACAGAAAAACAACTTGGGATTTGCCATTTGCAAGTCAGTTTCCTCAAACAATTCGCCTTCAGGTCCCAATTGTTACATGGCCACAACCCAGAAATACCGTCGTACTTGGGTAAATCAGGAGCAACTCAGCCCAAAAAAATCGAAAAGTAAGTTCCTACTAAAATAGGATTACCATGGATTACCTATACTCTTAATCTATGGTTTGCTTATAAAATATCATCAAATCATCAAGGTTCGGATCCTTGCAACTCGTGTCGCTTTTTGAAGAAAAAATTCCCTTCACCAGGAACAAAGAAAGGATTGTATGAACTATACCCTCTGGTAATGTCAAAATAGCTATTGAAAATGGCTATTTATAGTGGATTTTCCCATGAAAAATGGTGATTCTCCATAGTTATGTAAATGTTTACCAGAGGGTAATCTACCCAACGTTGACCCAGGTGTAATCCCAACAATAAAAACCCAACAATAAAAATGACCAGTTCTGTGGGCCCCTTTGCACGTCTCAAGTGCTATCCAAGGCAACACTTTTTTTTTTCAGGCGACCACCGTGGGTCTTAGCAACCTGCCAGCAGTGGGCTAAGGACTCGAATTCACCTTGAAAAGGTCAAACATCGACGGTCAAATCTACGACTTATCCAGGAGCGGATGCATGTTCATCTTTGTATACCTATATATATATACACTGTATATATGTGTATGATTATGTATATATATAAATGATATATATATATATATATGAATACATATATATGAATACATATACATATATATATAAATATGATTATATATATATGATGATATAATATATATATATATGATTATATATTTATATGATTACATATGCATGACTAGATATATATATATATATATATGCGCATGTCACGTACTGTTCTGTGTGTTGTTGGTGTGTTTCAAGCATTTTCGGGGGGATTCGGATCATTCTCCCATCATCGGCCCAGCGAGTGGATCTCACTCATGTCTCATATTTAATCATCAAATACCATCAAATCCCACGAACTATTTTTATAGCGGATAAAATTACTTGTTCATGTTCATGCCATGCACAATCAGGGTCGTTTTTCTATCGCTTGTGAGGATTTCTGCATTCTCAGACTTTGAGGCGACTCATGTCAGGGATATTGGTATAGGGTCGTCCCTGATCAGGAGGGTTTTGCACATCCCT